GCCATGTGGGTGCTGGGAATCGAACCTGGGTCCTCTGCAGGAGCAGTCAGTGCTCTTAACTGCTGAGCCATCTCTCCAGCCCTGTCTAACTTTTTTTTTTTTTTTAACAGAACTTCTGGGGATCAAACTCGTGTCCTCATTTTTGAGCACTCTACTATCTCCCCAGTCCTGCTCCCATTATATAATAATATGTTTGAGGATTCTTAATCCTCAGGACAACTGCTGAAGGCACTGAAAACTCACCCTTTGCAGATGAGGAAGGTGAAGCTGAACCATGTAAGAGGTGTTTTTCCTTCAGCTAAAATACAGGAGATAGAGTTGGAGCCCAGTCCATCTGGCAGTGGAGCCAAAGTGCTGCACTAAGTCTAGGGTTGGTTAAGAGCTTTGGGAGGGGGCTATCAACTGAAAAGAAAAGTTGTAGTATACTGGAGAAACTGGACAGAGAAATGTGCATCGTATTAAATGGCAAGCAGCACCTTAAAGCTCCCCTCCCATTTCTTTTTCCTTCCCACCAGCCCTGTTTACCAACTAATGCATGGGTTAGAATTCTTCTGTTTGTACACAGTAGTGGCCGATCTATCCTCTTTTCCCCTACACTCTTTCCATTATTTTGAGATCATTAAAAATAAATTTTCTCATAATATTAATGATGATGTTTTATAGCTACCATTTATTAAATACCACCATTTGCCATGTAGTATAAGAATCGTTTATTATCTCATTTTCACAGCTTTCCTCATAGAGGAGAAATAACCAGATTCAGAGAAATGTTCCTTTGATTTACCCAAGACCACAGACCTCTAACCCTCATTAGGGATTACAGATGGAGGGAGGAAAGGAGGCATCAAAAGTAGCTAAGATACTACCTGTCATTAATCTCAAAGCAAAACTAGGATTCAAACCCAATTGTACTTGACTTCACTAACCCACGTTGCCACTTAAGTTGTTTGGCTCTGAAAAGCCAAGAAGAGAGAACTAAACGACTTAATTCTTAAAGTACTACAAAAATTTATTAACCACCCATGAGATATCAAATGTATATATTACCGTCATACTCTAATTTCCTGAAATCACTTTTGTTCTATTTTTTCAGGAGCAGACTATATGTGTACATAATTGTCAAAAATTAATATGCTGTAAATATAAATTAAGGTGTCCTTAGAGTATTGCTTTAAAGGTTAATTAAATTATCAAAATGTTTTATAAATCTAAACTTCCATTAATGAACCCAACCAAAACATTACAGTTAGAAATGAGAGTTCTTTTGTTATGATGAAACTTATTAAGTGAATTATTCTTCCCTACTAATAATGGAAATTGCAAGGATTTTCTTGCCACTGAATTGCATTTAGCTTTCCTGGAAGAGATTTCTTAGAATAGCTAACAACATTTTGTTCAGATGACAGTTGTTTACAATAGTTTTGTTATTCTTTCCCAGGAAACATGTCCAGGAAGCAGAAATCAAATCTCCTTTGAAATCTTTGTGTTTAGTTATATATTATAAAACTGAGTACCTTGTAAAATCTATTGTAATAAAAAGAATCTGAAGTCAAAGAAAAAAAGAATATATTTTGTTTCATTTTTTACTTTATTAATATTCAGCTTTTCACATTAGAAGCAAATGGCAAAATAACTTTCCTATTGTGTTCTAGGAGTTACATAGAAAATAATTATATAGCTTTGCTTGGAGGAGTATTTTTAAAACTAAATCCATCTACTTTTTCATTTCATTTTCTAAAATTTGGGGGGGCTATACTTGGCTAATAATTGTTTATTATACAATGGTTCTATTTTACATCTTGACTCAAGCAATTCAAGTCAATAAAAATTCAATGAGAATCATATACTCAGAATTTCCGAGCTCCAAGGAAGGATAAAAAGATTCTGAAGGAGACATGCAGCAGTGAAGAAAGTGGGCAGAGAAAGATCAGCGCACTAATGAAGGTATAAATTGCTATGTGATCACAGTATAGGAGTGATTAATTCCAACCAAGTACATACGTAATGGGAAAACTGAAGGGGAAACTAACATTGAATGGAATGCATGCGATGAAAACATTGTAGGTCTTCATTGACAGACGTTGCTTTATTTAAACAATAGAGTTGACAGGTCTCATGAAACATAGCTTAGTCTTCAAAAGCACATTTTTTTCTTGCACTCACTGTGATACATGATGCCTAAACTTTAAGTATAAAGTAGAAATCCTCTTCCAAAATAACATTGAAACTTCATAAGCTCAAAAGGGCAAAATCCATAGAATTTGGTGCAAAACTGAGGCACCCAGTGGCACCCAGTTACAGCCACCCAGCATGGGCCCTCCTCTGTGCCTTAGGGTTCCTGAGGTCATTAGCTTCTGCAACCAGCCATCAAGACTGGGGAATAACCCCAAGAAAGTCCTTAGCAGTGCTGCAACCTGGATGGTTTTGTGCACCCTGCTTCCTCTGTCTCAAAAGCTTTCCCTATCCTATCTCTATCATTACTTGGAATACCACCACCTTCTTCAGTTATTAGCACAGACCTCACCATCTCTGAATCTTCTCTGAGTCTCCATCTCTTACCTACATACATCCTAGTGTGAATTGAAGGATCCTGAGCTCAGTTCTTTCATTGCATTTCATCCTAGCCCATCATAGAGTACCAGAAACTATTCACTTGAGTTTTTCTCCATAAGCTTGCCGTCTCCTTCCAGGCAGGAATTGCATTTTGTTCAGTCACTAACAGGAATGTTACAGTGCAGGTATTTATTATGAGTTAAAATGAAACCCCTCTCAAAAAAAATGATGTTCCAACCCTCAGTATCTCAGAATGATCTCTGTTTAGAAATAGAGTTGATGCTGATGAAATTAGTTAACTAAGATGGTGTCATACGGGAGTAGGGTGGGCCTCTAATCCAATCTGACAAGTCATCTGAAGAAGGTGATCATGACTAGTTGAGAAGAGGAAGGAGATCAATGGGGGTAGGAGGAGAATAAGAGAGAGCAATGTGGAGTGAATATAATCAAAATACATTATAATAATAAAAAGCAAATACATAAGCCCCCTCCCGCCAAGGAAAATAGGTGACCATTTAAAGACAGACACACAAGGGGAATGTCATGTGACAGCAATATATAAGCCATGCAAGTTCTATAAGCCATGAAATGGCACAGGTAGCCAGCAAACCACCAGACACTAGCAAGAGGCCCTGAAATAGATTTCAAGGGAGCATGGCCCTGCAGACTCCTGGAATTTGAACTTCCAGCCTCCAAAACTGTGAGACCATAAGTAGTATTGTTTTAAACCAAACGTATATGTTACTTGGGAACAGCATCCCTAAGGAAACAGTCAGTGCTCAATGCATTTGAATGGATAAACAAGTTGGAATTCTTCTCTATCTCTGAAAAGTCTGTTTTCTCACTTTTATCTCTGTCTTCTAGGCTTGATTTAAACAATCCTTTTTCCCTATGTTTGTTTATTATAGGCTGTATATTGATACAACTTCATGCCTGTGCTAAATTAGGTTTTGTACTTATGAATACTCATCCAGCTTATGAAGTTTTGATAACTAAGGCAGAGAAAGGAGAGGTAGAGGAAAAGGCTTTGTTCTCATGTGTGAATACCAAGAAAATCCCTTTTTTCTGTTTAGGCAGAGGCGTGAACCCTGGGCTTGCTGATCCTTTATCTTATGGCCATTTAGTGATAACTTCCTGTGGTGGTCAGTAGCTCAGACTTTGTCATCAAGAGCTGGAATCAAATGCAGTCTGCCTTAACAGCTTGAGGAAATTATTTAACCAAACTCTGCTTCAGAGTTTGATTTCCTTACCTAGAAAATGGATAAAGAGCAGTGTCAAATCTCAGAATTTTTATAAGAAAATCATGATGAACTGTTTTAAAGCCCTTAGTATAGTTCATATGGTGGGTTATTAATTTTTTTTAATTTATTTTATGTGTATGAGTGTTCTGCCTGCATGTAAGTGCACTATATGCATGCAATGCCTATGGAGACCACAAGAGGGCATCAGAACCCCTGGAACTGGAGTTCTAAATAGCGGTTAGTCAACATACGTTGCTGGGAACTGAACCCCAGTCCTCTGCAACAGCATTGTTCTGGTTCGCTTTCCATTGCTGTGATGAAAACGCTGACCAAAACCAACTTGGGGAGGAAAGGGTTTATTTGGCTTACAGCACAGTTCATCAAGGGAAGCCAAGGTAGAAATTCAGGGCAGAAACCTGGAGCACAGTACATGGAGGAATGCTGCTTACTGGCTTGCTCCCCTGGCCAGTGCTCAGCCTACTTATATAATACAGGACCACCTGCCCAGGGGTGTGCTCAGCCTGCTTTCTTATACAATACAGAACCACCTGCCCAGAGGTGGCACTGCCCACAGTGGGCTGGGTCCTCCCACATCACGCAACACTCTAGAAAATGCCCCACAGACATGCCCACAGACCAATCCAATGGAAACAGTTCATCAATAGAGGTTCCCTCTAACCAGGTGTGTCAAGTTGACAACTAAAGCCACCCAGCACAAGCATCCAGTGCTCTTAACTATGGAACCATCTCTCTAGCCTCCCACAAAGTAGGTTTTAATGAAAGTTAGTTTATTATTAGCAAATAAAATCTCTATATTTAAAATCAAAACCAAATTATTTTGAATAAATCTATTGCAGAAAAATATTTTTGATATTTTATTATTTTTTATGTGTATATGTGTATTACCTGTAGATAGGTAGGTGTACCCATGTCATGCAGTGCCTGCAGAGGTCAGAAGAGGATGTCAGATCCTCTGGAACTAGAGTTGCAGATGGTTGTTAGCTGCTGCCATATGGGTGCTGGGACTCAAACCCAGGTCCTCTGCAAGAGCAGCCAGTACTCTTAACCACTGAGCCATCTCTCCGGCCCCAGAAAAAAATACTGTAGCATTCTGCCAATACCAAAATAAAGAATTCCACCTACCACAGATAGAGGCTTTATTATTAAGTCAAAAGACTCACTCTTACTTTTTCCCCCTTCAAACAGGCTAAAAAGAGAGATGAGATTCTCCAACTTTTAAGAAAACAGAGAGAAGACAGGATCTCGGTAAGGCTGACGGTGAAGCCTTTGGCAACTGTCTAAAGGCATGCATGATCTGTGGCAAATTTTCACAGGTTTTGTAGATTGACCCTTTAAATCTATACTTATAAGTCTTGAGCCTTCCATGCACTGGAGAATGGCAAGACACAGAGGTCAGATCATTTGACAAGCCATGAGACCAGTGATATCTCCAGAAGTTTGCGACTCTAATGGCAGAAGTGAGGTGTGATTGTCAGTGGAAATTATTGTTAGCACATTATAAAGGACGTGAGACATCCTTATATGTAACGGGGCTACATCAGTGTAATCTTTGCTTCACAGTGAATGATCTTTATAGATCATATAAAGCTAAGCGATAGCAAACTTTGTAAAAAATTAATAATAGCTAGGCATGGTGGCGCATGCCTTTAGTCCCAGTCCTCAGGAAGTCAGAGGCCAGTGGATCTCTGTGAGATGGAGGCCAGCCTAACCTATATAGCACATGCCAGGCCAGCTGGGGCTGCAGGGATGCCCTGTCTCAAAAAGACCAATAATAATAACAACAATGGCTCACTATAAAGTATGGATGCACAAACACACACTTCTGAATGAGCCTCAAATTCTCCAGTCTGGACATTTCTCATTCAATAATGGTCAGATAGAATAAATCAGTCTTTATAAACTCTGTGATGATTTTTAACTTAGATTAAAAGCTTTCAAGTGAATAAATTTCAGACAGAGGAAGAAGTAAAAGTTTTTCTTTCTGATTCTGTTTTTTTAGAAAGAACTGATTTCATTACCTTATAAAGTTAAGGCCAAAGTACCTGAAGCAAAGTAAGTTTACTTGTCTCATCCTTTTACTTACTGTCCAGAAATGTATTTTTCTGTTCCTTTGTCTCCTACCAATGAATCTTCTAAGAACCCTCACCACTATATTAGAGTTCTCCTGCCTCAAATAAATGTACTTCTTGGAAGTACTAATGCCTGTGACTGGCTATGTCTGTAGAATGTGCAGGCATACACTAGTGCAAAGTGGAAAGAAGATAGACCCTGGGTCTCTGAACATTCACGGTCCTGCTTCTCACCCTGGGCTGTTGTCGCACCTGCATCCCTGTCCTCCCAGCTCTACTCTCCCCTGCCCACCTACCATCTTTAGTGAGTAGCCAGGTCTTATGGATGACCATCTCTGATCCCACCAATAATGTTGACATAATAGCCTGTCAGTGGTGGAATAAAGTTAGAAATGGGTCCAGGAACACACACTCTAGGAGAATTTGAAGGAAATCAGTAATCACCAGTTAGTCACTAAATACCCCTATTTTAAACAAAAAAAGCCTTCATTTTCTTATTGTGACTGAAACCAGCATGGCTAACTCAACATCAGTTTGACAAATATTTTCTTTTCATACTAGATTCAGAAAATAACAGAATAGTAATAGAATTTTGATTATTTTTTTGGTATTGAGGGTAACCCATAACATCAACAAAGTAACAGCTCAAAAGAAGAATGATGGTATCTACCCTGATTTTTAATTTTTCTGTTAAAAAATGAAGGGGAAAAAAAGCTATGTTTTCTACATTATGGGCCACAACTTAGTTTCTTGCTTTTTAGTCAGGTAATTTGGCTTATCTCCTACAAATGGAAGGAAATTAGCCTAAAGGAAAGATTTATTTAACTGACTCAATTGATGGCTAAAGACTGCTACTTGAATAAGCACAGACAGGTCTGGGTGCCTTCTGTCTTTGCATATATCTTTACAGAATATTCTTACTATTCTTATTGATTCACTTACAAGCACATTATTTTACAACTTAAACACATTTTATAAATTTAAATTCCTACCTAATTTCTTGGGTAATACACTCTTTCCTTCATCCTGAAGCCCGAGTTTCATACCATTTCAGAGTGACTTCCTCATTCTCTGGACTTCTTGGTTTTTTGGTTTCTGTTGTTATTGGTGTGTGTGCATACATGCGTGTGTGTGTGTGTCTGTGTGTGTCTGTGTTTGTTTGTGTGTGTGTGTGTGTGGCGGTGTGTGTTTTGGGTTTTGAGACAGGGTCTCTCTGTAGTCCCAGCTGGCCTGGAACTTGCTATGTATACCAGCCTGACCTCAGTCTCACAGAAACTGGCCTGCCTCTGCCTCCTGAGGCCTGGAATTAAAGGCATGTGCCACCATGCCCAGCTTTTTTGTTTGTTTGTTTGTTGGTTGGTTGGTTGGTTTTGTCCTCTGGACTTGTTATAGTTCCAGTATGTACTATTCTTTTGGCAATCATATACTACTTTGTGCCCATACTTTATAATTATTTAATTTATTATCCCTTAAGTTATTTAACTTTTCATATACTTTCTGCCTTATCCATAACTAGGTTATAAGTTCCATGAGAAATTGGGTACCCCAATGTGCCTGCATGTTGGGATTAGGATATATGTGTTTAAAAATTTAGGAGCATCATTTAATTAAATATTAGCTAATTTGGAAATTGATATATTTATAATATATATGCACTTGTAAATACTTTTCCCTCCATCTTTTCCTCTCTACCCAAAATTCCCTCACACAGAGATGCAGCTTTACAATCCCTCCTTCAACAGATCATAGGATAATCTGTGCTCTTTCTATCAGAAAGAACCAGAAAGCATGCTCATAATGATGTGACAATGATATAGTCATTATTCATCATGACAATATTTGCATTTTAAAAGAAGACTGAGTAGAAGGAAATCTAAAGAAATCAATTACCGTGATAATATGTCAGGAGTATGATTCTTCAATATGCAAAATATTTAGGGTAGGATGCCATCTTCCACGGCCTTCACATACTTGACCTTCCATACTTCACACATAACCACTTCTCTCATATATCTTTAATTAGAATCCACAATGCTTCTTATTGAGAAAATGTTCTTAAGTTATTTTCATGATACGTTGTGTTTATGATGACAGAGTTCTGTGCATAAGAACTAATTCTTTTTTTCCAACAGGCATGTGTCACCAGAGTTAGATAAAAAGGAGGAGGAAGAAGTTAAAGCCTTGGAATGATTTGATTGACATGTGGTAGAGGATGACTGACACCTATCTTCACTTCTAAAGCTAGTGTTCCTTACATCAGGGTTACTAGATGGCTGACAGAGTTACACAAGTTAAACGTTAGATGTGCAGAGTTCCAGTAATTTTACCAATTACTGAACATTTATGTTAAAATAACCTAAAATAAAAGTAAATATATAAACAGATGGATTTTTTTTTTGGCTTGGTAAAGTCCTCAAAGTAGGTTTTATTTATACATTTCTTCAAACAGTTGTAGAATTTTTTTTAAATTCCTCCCAAATGTGAGAGTGTAGGGGCAACAGTGGGAACCAGGGTCTAAACAAATACAAATACACGGGCTTTGCTAGCTCGCTGAACCAACACCGAGAAGCCAATTTATTCTAGAATGTGGATGTGCCTGAATTGGCCCCTGAAATTGTTGAAATAAAGAGAACATTAAGGAAATATTAGTTTCTAAAATGTGCGGTCTTTAAAAATAAAACGTCAAAAATGTGAATCTGAAAAGATCTGCAAAATGTGGTACAGTGTTTACATAGAGAAAATTTAACTCCCATTGACTAGAACTCAAATCTAAAACACACTTAAATGGCATGGCATTGGTGACATTCTTCTCAAGGCATTTCATGTAAAAGAAACCAGTAAGTCTGCTCTCACCCCAACAAAAAGACCCAATCCCTTTCTACAGCAAAAGTATACTTTGCAAGAAAAGCAACACTGTACAGTTAATTCACTGCTAAATTAAGATTTCTGAGATTGTAAGAAATGGGGCCAAAACAAGACACACCCCGAAAGGGATGGCTGAGACAGGAAATGTGCGGTAGTAAAGTGCAGGAAAGGAAGCCTGCTCGGCTAAATGAAGTAGACAAAGGTGAGAAGTCAGGGGTCATTCACCCCAGCAGCAGCTGTCTGGAAAACTACACTGCAAATTCTGGCATCTACTGGCGGCGTCCACAGGAGGACAGTCGATGTTGTCACAGTAGTAAAAGTATTCATCATTCAGAGAAGGGCACACTGAAACCAAATCCTGCAGACCTGCACCAGTCACAGTAAGGCAGCCAGAGACGTTCAGGTGCTCCAGATAAGGCAGCCCTCCTCCCAGAGTCAGACCCTGAGACCATGGTCTATGATCTGATAACATCCAGACAGACTGAGAAGCAGAAGTACACGTCCAGTCACTTGGTCAGATTTTCACTCCCAAAGTAAAATAAGTCTTTTCCCCTAGGCAATGTAGTCCTTAATGCTTTTCTACACATTGCAGAAGATGTTGGGAGTGCTGACATAGTTCTTAGAGCTGTCCCTGTGTAACAGAACGAATGACCACAGTACGCAAAGCTAGAGACACACGATGCTGCTGCCAACAGACACTAGCCCTTAGTCCAACAATGTCCTTACTGTAGCAGCCAGATGAAGATCACCCAAAGCTGGAGGCTGTTTCCACTACAGAGCCTTTCAACATTTCCGTGTCCCCACTCTAGTGCATCTTCAATGCCAGCCAAATCTTCAGCATCTAACACCCACATGTAAGGAGCAGAGAAGCTTTCAGAAGATTCGGGTTTAGTCCTGGCGAGCTCATTAGTGATCTCTCCACCAATGCCTTTGTCAGATCCCACAAGCAGGCATACTCCTCAGCGGATTGCTCAGGAATGTCTTTATCTGTCCACGGAGCTGCAGTAATCTTGCTTGCAGAAGTTTCCAAAAAGCTATTCTGATGAGATGTCAGGATCCTAAGAGCTCTAGAAACCTTCTCTAGAGCTACATCTTTTGCAGGAAGCAGAAGGGCAGGCAGGAGGTCTCATACCACCACCAAGTGATGGATTTTTATCTGTTACTAAACACTTGTCCTTTTATACTATTGTGTCTGACATCACACCGTCTCATCTGACACATCCTCAAGCTTCTGCACTGTTTGTTGTGTTGCTGTTTTGTTTTTGTTTTCATTTGAATGGTATTTCCAGAATTTATGTATTTGATTTGTATTATAAGAACTAAATAAATAAGAATCAGGGGCTCTATATGCCCCCAGCTTGTGGACTATCCGTAACAATAAGAAAATAGGGATGAAAAATCAATCTTGAAAACTAAATCTGCTTCGGGGCCTGGAAAGATGGCCCAGTAGTTAAGAGCACTGGCTGCTTTTACGGAGGACCCAGGTTCGATTCCCAGCACCCACATGGCAGCTAATAGCCATCCTTAACTTCAGTTCCATGGGAATCCGACACCTCTTCTGACCTCCACAGGTATTGTATGACATGGATGCACTTACACACGTGCAGGCAATAATTCATACACATAAAATAAAAATAATAAAATATTTTAAAAAGAAAAAAATCTTCAAGTCTTCTTTTAAAAAAATATCCCTTTTCCAAAATTGGCTTATTCCATTTCTAGAACATGAATGAAATTAGACCTGAGTTGCTTCTAGTTCTATGAATAATGAGCTCAGCATGCCCATGTCTCACACACAAGTGCATAACCCTGTTGCCAATCTAGCTCACTTTCAAGGCATACACCCTTTGATATATGTTTGAAAAGAGGTCAAGGATTTGTCCCTTCTGTACTGTCCAAATGGCAGTCTTGTAGAAGGTTATATATGCTTCCCCAGCATTCAAGGCTCTGTTTAGATTTGCCATTCACTTCACTGTTATCCTCTACCAAAGGCTCCTGGACATAACCTCCATGTCATGTGATTGTAATCCACACTGCCAGATGAGGAGTGTATGACCTACTGGTCAGAACCTACTCACAGAGACAGGCCAAGCTTCAACCAAATATTTGAAATCAGAAAGAGGTGAATATCCAAAATCCAAAATTATTTAAGCACTAGCATGACACCACAGGTGGAAATTTCCACACCTGATCTCATGTGAGGGTTGTAATCCAAATGCAGGCACACTAAAAATAATGTAGAAGGTGCTGGAGAGATGGCTCAGTGGGTAAGAGTGCTTAGTGCACAAGCACAAGGACCTGAGTTTGGATGACCAGCACCCACATAAAAAGGCTGGGCATAACGATGCTGCCTATAGTCACTAATTGGAAGGCAGAAACAGAAGGACCTGTGGGGATGGTGAATCATATGCAGGCCCATCAGTCAATTGGTGAACTCCAAATTCAGTGAGAGATACTGAATGACTTGGAGTGTGAAATAGTGCAAAATAATCAGAAGATACCCAGTGTCAACATCTGACTTTCACACATGCATGCACAGGTGCATGCACCACACACACACACACACACACACACACACACACACACAAAATATTGCAGAAAATTTCCTTCAGGCTATGTGTATAGGATATATATAAAACAATGAATTCTATGTTTAGCCTGGAGTCCTGTCACCAAAATATCTCATATATGTGTGACTATTCCAAAATCCAGAACAGTCCTGGTCCCAAGCATTTTAACTGGTTGTCTCTTGGTGACCTTATAGCACATCAAGCTGAAGATTAGATCTTGGGCCAAAGAAATTTTACCAAGAAAAATTACACTTTTTTTTTTTTGAGCAACCATCCTTCCTGTGTTGACACTTTCTTGTGTTGCCTTGTATAGCAGTTAGCTATTACTGCAACAGTGCTGCATAACAAAGTTCTAAAGAAGTATTTGCTGTTGCTCATTCATCTAAAGTTCACCTAGAACCACAAAAATGTCACACTACAAACCTGTCAATTGACCGAAGCCACCCCGAACCACATACCAAACTCTTGGCCAATGCGATATTTGAGACATGCTCCTCTCAGATAGCCAAGAGAGGCAAAGAAATAAGCAGAACCTGTAGGGGCTTTTCTGGTCCAGGCTCAGAAAGTTCTGGCTTATTCTACTGATCAATCTCATGGTCAAACAGAGACTAGGTATAGGGGAACATGCTCAGCTTCTTCAGTAAGAACTGCAATATCACAGTAAAGGGTTTCCAACTTGCCCCTATCTGCCGCCCTCCTGGGGAGGCAGCCATGCAAATTCTAGATCTGAGGGGCTGTAGGACCCTGCCTTTTCTCCTGGTCTCCTCTGAGGGAAGAGTGGTGGGCACCCAAGTCAGGAATGGGGATGCTTATCAAGAATTAGGGTCATTACTGTAATCTACCACACTCAGTCAACTGTATATGCTAACAAAGTCAATATGGACCAAGGTCAGGGTATCAAAGGTCAGGGTATCAAAGGTTGAATTCAAAACAGTAATTATTTGAACCAAAGTGACAGTTTCATTAAGTTGAAACATGTTGTAATATTAAAAATAAATTATTTTCAATTGACATTGAAAACCTAGCTACCTGCACATTTACATACATACACGCCTTAGCAAACCATTACAAAACTCTTAGGTAATTATTAATGCCATCAAGTATTAAATGAAACAGGCAAAATGATCTGTCAAAGGCCACACAGACACTAATTGAGGAAAAGAAAGATTCAAACATAGTATCAGGCACAACCTCAACTGTCCCACCAGTATAATCGTTCTCTATTGTGATTAATAGTACTCTGTGACAACCATGACTTTCTAGAAAGAATGTGTGTCAGATGTGAGACAGTCTAATCAGAACACAGGAGGGCTATGAATGAACATGCCATCAGGTCAGTCCCCACGCAGGTGATGCCCCTGTTTTCTGCAGCTGCACACTGGCCCCATATTCTCGGTGTTGCAAGGGATCCCCAACTCCTGTGCCAGCTTTAATCCAGGCTTGTTTGTTCAGAACTTCAGTGGCTCAAGACCTTAGGAGCCCCACTGTTTTCTTAACTGCTGTTCTGAAAAGCTCGGTGAATAAGGAAACAGAAGCAAACTGGGGGACGGAAATCCAGAAGTGCCTAACCAGATGGGGTTTCTGCTACGCCTCATCATAGGAAGTGGGAAAACCCTCACCCTGCTACTTAATTCCTTAGTTCTACAGCCAGGAGACTGACTTTATTATTCCAATGCACTTGAAAATATGTTGTTTACTATAAGATGCTAATATAAAACACAACTATTGTGAGAATTTAGATGAGGTTGCACACTCTGAGGTTGGTTATGAAAGCTTTTGCAGAGGTGCTAGGGTCATTCTTTCCTGGGGTAACCAGACCTTCTGTCCACCAAAGGTTGAACACCACAAGTCATTCCCACCTCCCAACACAAAATGGCTTTCTTGTTGAAATCAGGAACGCTCTGGCTTCTGGTAGAAGCCTCTTTCCTCTCAGGCAGAACTCCATCCAACGCTGCCACCGGTTGTGGACGTTCCAGAAGCCATGTGGGAAATTCTCCTAGTCAATAGACACATCGCCTCACCTACCCTTTCAGTGCAGAAGAAACGCTGGGACTGAGGTTTCCCGAGATTCAAGTATGGGCCTTGCCTCTGTCTTTGGCCGATTCCCACAGAGCTGGGTAGACTTGACCACAGCATGGGGGTTGGGGGTGGGGGGAAGATGTGGTGTAGTTTGGGGTCACACAATGCTTTTCATGGGATTTTAGAGAATCTCTACGGGGTTGTCCTTCCTTCTCAGGCAGGATTTATCTAGGCAGCTCCAAGCGGCAGACAGCTGGTCCCTTCTACCCCACGCTCCTCTTTGAGCTAGCTGTGTCTGGAATCTGGATGGAGCTCTGGACCTGGCCGTCGGGGGCGGGCCAGCTCTGGAGCTGCCCTCCCTGCAGTGACGTCCCAGGAGGCGGAGGGGAGACCAACTAACTGACTCTGCGTCCTCCTGGACTCCTCCCAGTGCGGGGTCCGTCCGTCCTTAGGAGATGCGGCTGCCTCAGTTGCAGTTGTGCCTGCCACCTCCCGTCTGCCCGCTTCTCCGCCTTGGTCCCGGGGTGTCGGGAGGCTCCAGAGTCCCGTCATGCAGCTGGGAGCAGCGCTGCAGGCCGCCTTGCTGGCGATGTTGCTGTTGGGACCGCGGGGCGGGAAGGGTCGCCTGCTGAGTGGTGAGTGCGCGCCCTGGGGAGCGGGCTGGTGCAGGGCTGGGCTGGTGCTCTCGGTGCACCGTAGCTGTTGAGGGCTGTCTTCCGAGCCACTGCACCCCTTCTTGACCCTTCGCCGGGTGAGAAGGGAGGCGATCCCAGCTCTACTCCCCGACCTAGCCAGCCCTTCCGAGTCGCCTGCTTCCAGGGACCAAATGTGCCAACAACTAGAACCAGCTCCATTCTGGGGCCGCTCAAAGTCCGTTCCTGCGCAGGGTTACCAGGGGGGTGAGTGGGAGGACGTAGTCTGGGAGGGGCAGAGGGCAAACTTGTACTAGTGGGTGCCCCTGGGCCCCGCACCCTTGAGCTGAGCGCCGCCTGGACCATAGGCCGGGCATGCTCTCCAACTCGCTCCAATCTACCATCCTCACCGGGACGCAGCCAGCAGATTCTAGATCCTGGGGGCTGTGGGACCCCCGCCTGTTACTCCTGATCTCCTCTGAGGGAGGAGTGTCCGGCACCGAAGCCGGGAATCCGTGTGCTTGGGGATGGGAAAAGCAGCCTAGTTAGCACGGGACGAGCCCAGCCCGGCTCCCAGAGTGACTGACTCTCTGCTTCCTTCCTTGCGTGCCACTGCAGCCTCGGACTTGGACCCCAGAGGAGGTACAGTGCTTTTCCACTTGTTCTGCATGTGGCGAGGAGAACTTTTGTGTCCTTTTCTCTGCCTCCTTCTCATGCATCCTCTGTTTGGCCAAGAGGGACAGAGGAGAATGGGAATCTCCACTGTATCCCAGCTTTATGGGCTGATTTAAGGAATCTAACTTTGGTTGCAGGACGGGGGTGTTGTTCGGGGCACCAAAGGAGGTAGCCATGGTTAAGCTGCATCGCTAGGCACTTGGTGGTGGTGCGAGACCTCCCGCCCTTCCCCTTCCTGCAAAAGAGAAAAAGAAAGACACTTCCTGAAGGCAGGGGAACCAGATGGGTCCTCGGCCTCCTTCCAGCTCTGGTGATCTCTGGCACTAGCTCACAGACTTGGGATGTGTGCAGCCAGCTTGGACCATACAGGAAACTCCATCAAAGGTGTTACTCTCTTGACATTCCAGCGTGGAAAGGTGGAGGCTGCGGGTAAAATCTACTCCAGTTCTGGTTATTCTGGTAGCTGGGTTGGGGGAGTCCCTAGGGGTCTTTGACCTTTCCTCTGCTGCCTGCCTCCTCCCTGGGATCCTGAGCACTCCTCTTCTACTTCTCCTGTCCTGATAGAGATCTTTTATTTAGCAGCAACAGCTTCTACAACGGAGAGGATATAGAATTCTTCCAGGTTGTTGCTTTGAGAATTTTTTTTTATCAAAGTGATGAGAAAAGAAAAAGAAAATACTGGCACATTCTGGAGTCTTGTCAGTGCTCCTCCCTGTACTTTGGACAGTTATTGGAAAGAATGGGTGCTATTTGGCTCCCGACAGAGCTAAAAAAAATAAAAATGAAAAAAAACCTTGTTGGGGAAATGAGAACATTCCAGAAGGTCTGATGAGATTCCCAAACCAAAATCCCCCATCCCTTACTCGTGTCAGCGATTCAAGCCTGGAGTCCATAATCTGGCTCTTTTATCGTAGGGACTATTCTTTTTGAAATGTGGCTTTCATTTCATATTTAGATCCAGAATCGTATGCTGTGGGCTCCTGTGGGTTAAGAACTGGCATTTGTTTCTGTATTCTCGATACCTAGCACACCAGGCAAAGAGGACTCACCCAATAAATGTTGGCTGAACAAAGGAGTAATGGGACTAGGTTTCCACTGCAGCAAGCCTTTAATCATCCAAACACAAGCCAGGGCAGCATGTGGTAGTGAACAGTTTGCTATCTGCTGCTCAGTGGAATCCTGTCCATTTGTCTGAAATGGTCTTCAATCCCTCAAGGCTCAATCAAATGAGATTACATGGGCTCCCACTGCAACCTGAGCCTATTGGAGAGTGGTGAACCATCAATACGGTGCAGTGATTCTGGTATGACTTTGCAGTCACATCTGGATTCTGACTAAAAATGTTGCTAATAGCTGTGTGACGTTAAACAAATCAATTCCTCTTAGATTCAGTTTTCTCACTTACAAAATGTGTATAAATTGCCTCTGCGTTGGGGAACTTCATTTGGAGAGCTAAAGGAGATGTATACAAACCCTTATTATAGTTAATGTACATGGAAAACGTTCAGTAAACTCTAGCTGTTGTCTTTAGGCCAGGGAACTGACTGTCAGCAGCAGAAAAACCCCAAGGATCTGAGGAGATGTACCTAGCTTCTACAAACACCAGAAACTGGGTAGTTAGTCCTGCTGCATAGACAGGGGGTTTCAGGATAGAGGAACCCATGATTGATTTCAGAATGCCTCTTTACCCTGAAGGAACCACTTAACAGAGATACTTTAAACTGCAATAATCCCCAGAGACTTCCTAAGGGCATGAATGCATTAAGTGAAGCCATAAATCCTCACCTATCCTTTTTAAAATATAAAAATGTCTGCTTTTCAACAATCTGCAGTGGAACAAAAACATGGGTTCCCTACACAATATGGGCATCAGTTTAAATCACTGCCACTACTTCGTGTTGGAAGGAGTATTAGTTTGGAACCCTAACTGAATGTTAACAGTCCACAGATGACTGTTGAGATCCCTGCCCAGAGATGGCTTCATTCAGATGCTTCTGGACATCTCTGCCCTGGTATATTTTTTGATACACTGAAACAAGTTGTCTTCTTTCTTCTCTAGGGCAATTGGTTTGCCGGGGAGGGACACGGAGGCCTTGTTATAAAGTCATTTACTTCCATGATGCTTTTCGAAGACTGAACTTTGAGGAAGCCAAAGAAGCCTGCAGGAGGGATGGAGGCCAGCTAATCAGCATTGAATCAGAAGACGAACAGAGATTGATAGAAAAGTTCATTGAAAATCTCTTGGCATCTGATGGTGATTTCTGGATTGGGCTCAGGAGGATCGAGGAGAAGCAAAGCAACAACACAGCCTGCCAGGACCTTTATGTTTGGACAGATGGCAGCATATCAAAATTTAGGTAAGTATGTGGAACCCACAGCAGCTGATTCTTTTGACATAACTCCAAAAAGAGACAAGCTAGATCCACAGTGCCAGATCCATGAGGAAGGGAAGACCCAGACAGGTAGATCCTGAGGGCAGTAATAACAGAATAGCCACTGACCACAGCAGTGTGGTGAAGGTGGTGAACTCAGCCTTGACTTAGGTCCAAACTGTCCTGCTCAGGTGGGAGAAGTAAAGCGCATTGTTTCAATAGCACACAATGTCTGAGGTCGGTGGTTCTGACTCTCTGACCTTTTGAACTAAGATCATATTGAGAAATTGAAGGTCCATAAAGATGGAATCAAGGTAAGACTCCAGATTACAAGAAACAGTGATAAAAGTCAAGAAATCAGAACCAATATCCAACTGGCCAGTGGTGGAAACTTCAAGAAAGAAAGTTTGTAGGAAACTCGTAAGCCCACAGCATCAAGACACTGATGCACACTCACACCCAACCTTGCACCATGACATTGCCATTATCTCTTCCTAAAAATGCAGTGACGTGGACAAACACTTTAAAATGTCAAATTAAGAGGCCTACATAGGAATGAAGGGCAGCTATTTTTAAAGTGGAGCCTACCAAAGGTTAATATTTCTATGATAAAGAGTTACAAGTCAGTGTAAATTACATAGTTGATAAAATATAAGATCTCAAAGATAAAGAAGCAAAATGCCTCAACGGAGAGTTCACAAAACAGAAAATCTGTTACACAGAACAAAAATTGACTACACAATAATATAAAAAGATGCCTAAAGTCAATATCAAAAGCATGAAGATTGAACAATAGTTTATCTGCTGCATTTATTCAGCATGCCAACATCTATCACTGTCTAACCATTATACTGATCAGATCTCATATCTAGGAGAAACTCCTTTAATTTTCTCACAGCCTTCTTTTCCTGAGAGAAACGTTGAAAGGGAAAACTCATAGCACAAAGTACATTGCTTATCACTACAGATGGTCCCAGAGCCACAACTGATACTGACCTCCTTCTTCTACTAACCCATAACACTCCCTACCCCTTCTGCTAGTCAATGGGTGACTTAGTAACATGACCAGACCCCATCTCTGAAGATTCTGAGGTTCGAGTCCATTTCCACTTCTGAGTCTAAAGTTAATGTACTTTCCCATTAAACCTCAAAATTAGAAAGAGAACATGAAGATATTCCTCAGTAGATAACCTGGAAAACTTCTCCCTGTCAATAATATATAACAGCAAACACCTCCTCTTGATTAAAGTAAATAACCTCTTGCCCAGATAATGACATCTCCCTTGCCTGCTGGTCTCTGAACATAAGGATCCCAAGTGCCAAGTGGCCACCATGATTTATGGCTCAGTATCCTCTTGCTATATCCCCAAAAAGAAATATTCCCTCTGGGAAAACGCCTCTAAACTCCCAATTCATAGCATTGCAAGACAAGAAGTACAAATTGCACAACTGAAGATGTTACTCATTTAAGGAACTAGAGCATCTATCTCTTGGCTCGAAACCAATGTAGGCCACGCTTTAAGATGCAGGGTGATGAAGATCATTGATTTAAAGTATACACTGTTTCTTGGAGAATGATATCCCTCCCCAAAGTTCATCATGTCAAAGCTGATGCTTCAGCTGTGTTTTCAATAAGCTCTTCGGGGAGTTAAGCTGGCAGCCTCAGGATGGTGCAATATGTGCTCTGACTAGTAGTTCCCCTGGTCAAGGGGCCTATTCGCATACCTTTCTTACTGCAGAATAGGACTTTTGTCTAGTGAGATGTTATTTGGAATCCTATTTTTATAGATTAAATACTATTTACCCCTTTGGATAGTGGTTCTGGCTAAAACTCTGAGACAGAAAAGGCCCATGATTGTGTCTACTCCTACCAAAATGAGTCATCATCCCTTTCAAGGATCCAGTATAGTTAACTTACCACCAAGTACCATGTTGGTCTTCTTAAGTACCAGTGCTGTACTGTGCCTACTTCAACTTCCCCCACCCTCTCTTGTCTTGAAGGCTGCTGACCTAGTGGTATTATCAGCCCATCTCTGAGGTCGCCTTCAGAGGTCGAACTTCTCAGGCTGGAGTTGGTAACAGCTTAGCATTGGTCTCTGTTGCTAGAAGGCTAGACCTTTGGCATAAGAATAGCCAGGAAGAGCCTCCATGGTTATTCTCATTTCTCTACTGAGCTACTATTGGAGTGGCTGAAAACAGCTGACTAGCATCACCTGGCTCAATAGTTTTGTCTCTCTGTTTAGTGCCTCTTCTGTTGTAGATATTCCCTCATAAGCTTTAATATGTGATATAAAAATCCTCAGACTCAGGGCTGGAGAGATGGCTCAGTGGTTAAGAGTACTTGCTGCTCTTGCGAACAACCCAGGTTCAGTTCCCAGCACCCACATGGTGGCTAACAACTGTCTATAACTCCAGTTCCAGGGGACTCTTATACCCTCTTCTGACCTCTGCAGGCATTGTACGACATGGGTGCACTTACACACATGCAGACAATATATTCGTACACACAAAATAAAAATAATAAATGAAATTTTTAAAAAGCACATATAGAACGGCAGCTAGAATTAAGGTTCTGCTGGGTTGGTGGGTGTGTATTCCCCTTGTACAGTCCTTCAGGGTCTGCCTGGGTTTTGCAGGAATCAGACAGAGATATGATGAGAAATACCATTGTGCATTCATTAGGTCTTTAAAGATGCCACTGCCTTCTGCCACGTTCCCCTAGATAAGATACTGTTTTGGATTCACCCTCTTGGCAGCAGTAGGGAGAAATGCAGTTTTAGAAGCTTGGCTTTCCCTACTATGATCACCTCCACCATCTAGAGGCCTACCAAGGTGGGCTATTTTAGATCCTGACTCACAACAAAAAAAAGAAAAGTTAGATCCAATTCACATATTTAAGAACTGGACCAATGACTACTGGTTAGGTCCCACTGTGAGCTGATCTTCAATTAAATTCCTGACCCCAATGTGTTCCCATTCTAATGGGCGACTTTGATGACATCAATGCCAACATATACCTTGTGTTCAACAGTTCTAGCAGTATTTAAATATGCCCCTTTCCCCAGTGTATGATTATTTAACTAAATAGCAGAGGTCCTTCAGAGGAAAGAATAGGAGAAATTATTATCATATGTACCTGCCACAGTATGGCAGGCTCTTCTTCCTGAGCACCTGGCCTCTCCCTCTTTCAGTGAGTTAGTAGCCTGAAAACTGGCTCAAGTCCAAAAATGATATTCCAGGAGTTATATTTCATCTATCTATGAGATGAAGTAGCATAAATCCATAAAGCGATGGGGAAGGCCAGCTGGGCTCAAGGTAACTAATGAGTCACAAAGCCCAGGTTCCACTAGGACCCTAGCTGTCCAGACATAATGTCCACAGAGAGTTTGCTGAAAAGCTCAGCTTTTGTTCAGGAAGTTCAACCCGGTGGGCACAACAAAGTCTCTTCCTTTTGGCAGACTGCAATACCAAAGCAGACTGTGGTACTACCAGAAAGCATCTCTCTTAGCTGTCTCTCCTGAGGACCAACTTGAGGAGAGATCAGCAGAACAGCGGGGCCCAGCTAAATAGTCTCAGATCAAGGCAAAACACTACCCCTGGAGGGAAGCAACTCGGGTAGGTACTCTGGCAGACTACAAAGCCTAGTCCTCTATCAACAGCAAGGGTGGGTGCTGGTAGATTTAGACTTTCAGTGGAATCCTAGGCTTTATCCTGGTTCCCATACATGCAACTAGGTGGCAACATCATTTAATTCCAGGTACTACTGGATGGTAGAGCTAAGGCTACTAATTTACCCCTTCCAGGAGCTAGGGAAACAGAAGCAAGACATCGCACAGTGCGGGGGGGGGGGGCTTATTGGCCTGATCATGTACAAATGTCCTGAAAACTGCCCCTGTCCCCACCCCTTCACCTACTTTGACAGTCTCTCTGTTTTGGAATACTTCCTTCAGATTCTAGAATTTCTCATCTATCACTGGGGACTTGTAGGAGAGATGGAGTCAGACAATCTCTTCTCACTATGTCTAATGTCTGGGGAAAAAAAGGGAAAAAAACTCAATTAGCATAAAACCATAAAGAAAAGAGAGAAAGAAAGAGAGAAAGAAAAGTAATCCAGACTAGCCCTGCTGTGCTGGCTGATTTTTCTCATAATCACTTTGCAGACATCAGATGATAATATATTCCACCCTACAAAGAGGTTGTGGCAAATGTCAGATGATTGGTTGTGACAGCCACACTAGACAGACAGCGGTGTGGCTCTGCTTCTTGGCAGTGCTTCAGTTCCTCCTCTGTATCCCGTTCTGAAGCAGGCTCTTATGCATGTTTCAATAGAAACTGATGAGAAAATAGAGACATGGAAGTCGTGGGGTGTGCTTCTCCAGCTGTCTCCACTGTCAATCCCTTTCCTTCAGGAACTGGTACGTGGATGAGCCTTCCTGCGGCAGTGAGGTCTGCGTGGTCATGTACCATCAGCCATCAGCACCGGCCGGCATCGGGGGCTCCTACATGTTCCGGTGGAACGATGACCGATGTAACATGAAGAACAATTTCATTTGCAAATATTCTGATGGTAATCGATCCTTTCCCCAGCTATGTGACTGAATTCCCAACCTCTTCGCCCACTTCAAAAGTAGATAGTGGCACCAAAAGCTTGGTTGCTAAGAATGCTTGCTACAAATGCCAGCAAATGTTAAACCTTGGGAATTCTTGTAAAGAGAAATGAGGGGACACTTCCTAACTGAGGAGCAATTTTAGCAAAGGAAAGGTTATCAGATGTTAACAGAAGGGATGAAAAAAAGGAGGATCTAATTTACTTGTAAAAAAGACTTATGAGAACATCTAGAAAAAGCCCTTTCGGTGGACAAGCACTCATTCTTACTCATTCTACATGTGTGGGTGGCTGTAGGAGGTTGGAATCAGCTGTTGCTCCTACAAATCTTCTAACAGCCATGTGAAATTATTTCCTGGAATTTAAGCAAACACACTAGTGACCAGAAAAGGCAGGTGACAAAGTACCCCAATTTCACTGACCCTAGGCTGAGACAGCAGACACTTTGATGAACAAGTTTAAACTCCTCAGTCACCTACCCCCATATACATTTGCCTCTCAAATTCAACTTTGATTTGCTCGCCTATCTATAAAGGGTTTAGATTTACAACGAGCCCAAAGTCTCACTCCAAGGTTTCCTAGATTCCTTTATTAAAACTGGTTTAGATTTAAACTTAAACTCATCTTGGTCTGTCCGTGAAATTTCTCACTTGCCTGGTCAACTGCCTGGCCCCAATTCCACATTGTCTCCTGACAGGAACAGAATGACTTGTTAGTTGCATCTATTACAGTTTGGGACTATTTAATTTACTGGCACTTTAAGCTGTTTGAATTACACTATACTTTGGGGACAATTGTGTGCTGCAAGATGTTTTCTTCCCTCTTTCTGACCTCAGATGAATTATTCTCTCTGACATCCTGTCTCTTCTCACCACACACGGTTGCCTCAGGCAGAGACTAGAGGGTGCAGAGACCTAGGCTGGTTTAGCTGGTGGCCTTCTCAGAGCAGTGAAAGAAAGCACTAATTAAAAAATGGCTTTCCTTTTCCCTCACTTTGTTCATTAGATTCTATTAGCATCACAGTTTAGATGTTTATAATTCTTAACAGTTTTTTGAAATGGGAGATTATTTTTTATTAATACTGAATTTTTGCAATTTTCATATGATATAGTTTGATGGTATTTAGATCCCCTCCCCTATCTGCACCCCCCCTTGAGACTTTTTAAATTTGCTTTAATTTTTTAATTTTTCATTGAATTTTTATGCATCTCATATACAACATCTTAATCATCTTTATACCACCTTCCCCATCGGCACCCTCCCATAGCCCCCCCCCCGACTGGATTTCATCATGCATTCTGTCATTTATGTTAAGGCCTATCAAGTCAAGCTAGTGTCCTCAGATGTCCCTCAGTACAAGTTCATCCACTGAGGTCTTGTCAGCCTGTCTAGAGTCACTCCCTTAAAGAAGATCAGCTTTTCCTCACCCAGCAGTAATCAGTTGCACAATAGTCCTTCGGCTAAGATTGGAGCCTGACATGCATTTCCACAGTTCTATGCTCTGTTTTTGTTTGCTTGAGTCTTGTGCATGCTGTTACCATTGCTGTAAGTTCATATGAGCAAGGTCCCAAGAACATTTAAGACTCTATTTCCATATGGTCAAGCACCTCCTCCCCTGGCCCTTACAATCTTTCTGCCCCCTCTTCTGCAATGTTCCCGGAGCCCTGGGTGAGTGAAGCTTAATAAAGGAAGCTGTCCAAGGACCCACACTCTGCAGACTCTTATTCTCTACACTTTGGCCATTTGTGGCCCTTTCTGTTCATTGCCTTCTGTTGCATGAGAGTTAAGAGATGCATTAGTATTCTCTCTACACCTTGTTCCACTATGTTCCATGAGCCTTAGATGTAGAGGGTTCATTTTAGATGTGTCACTTAGGGTTGGGCATTTCACAGACACTTATTCTCTGTGTGTGACCAGTTGTGGAACTCTGTAATAGGCTCCATCTGTTGTAAAAGAATCTATTTTGGTGAGTAGTGACTGGCATACTTGTCTGTAAATATAAAGATCCATATTCAGCACATAGTAATAAATTACATTTGTCTAGGAATGTGCCAGCCTTGGGGTTTTCTCTAAGATCTATGACCTCTCCAGCCCTGTGTATTTGACTATGTTTACAGTACCAGATATGAGTTCCCTACTGAGTGGGCTTTAAGGCCTGTTAGGCAGTTGTTGATTACCCCCAAGATAAAAATACCACTACTGCCCCAATATAGTTTGCTGTGCCAGTCATTGTGGTAGTTATTAGGCCTTAAAGCTGGAATTGGGATATCAATTGATGTTCTCCCTTATTAGCCTGCATAGTGCTCTCCAAAACCATGAGAGCTAGCCTTCAGGGGAGGTGACTTCCAGGACAGTTCCAGCTCCATTGCTCCAAGTCTGTGTCCAAAGTATGTCCTATCTTCAGCAATAGGGTCTTACCTTCAAGTTCTGGTAGGCAATCCAGGGCTGTGGCAATAGCCTATATAATTTTGGGAGTCTCTTGGACTATCATGGCCAATCACTCAAAGGGAGGTTTCTCCTGTCCGGCACTGTTTCTTGTTATATAGCTTTCAGCTATACAGATGGACTCATGTAGAAATATTGTGTGTGTAATTTTTCTGTAGGTCTTTGAACTAATATACCAGCTAGGCATTATTTATCTCTCTCTCCCTGTCTAACCCACCCTCCTCCCTCCCCAGTTAAAGTACTCCCATTTTCCCCATTTCATCCTTGTCTCCTATGGTCCCTCCTCTCTTGAGCTCCTTCTTCCCCTTTTCCCCCATAGTTCCTTGTATGACCCTCCCTCTTAAATTTGCTTTATTTTTAAATTTTTTATTTACTCTGTCTGTGTGTGTGCACGCCATGTGTGTGCAGGTAGTGTCAGTTGGCAGAATATCAATAAGGTCTGTAGATTATATAATGATATCTTACCAATGGTGATCCCCTGGTTTTGATCATTGTGCTGTGGTTATATAAGAGGATGTTCCTCCTTTTTTAGACATAGATTGAAGTCATTAGGAGTGAAAGGATACCATGTCCTATCCACAACTTACTCTCTGGAAACAAAGTTATGTGTGTGCATGTATCCATATAAACATAAGCACATATGTGTTAGAGACACAAAGATAGAATAATTAAGTAGATAATGCCCCAAAATGATGATGAAGGATATATGAAGAGTCTTTGTACTATTCTTAAAATTTTTTACAACTCTGAAATTATTTCAAAACTGGAAACTTAGACGAGAATTTCTTTTTAGAAGTCTTTAAGGCACGTAACTCTATAAAGATCAGATTATCTCACACATAGAGTACTTTAACTGCCTATTTACATGTTTGTCCCCTTTATTACATGGTTGTCATGAAATCTGGAGGCAAACACATCTACCCACTCGATGGACTAAGGAGAAATCACTTCTGTGGTTTCTACAGGATGGTGCACAAGCCTACTAATATTAGGGCACATTAGCAAGGGATTGTGTGAGTAATCATATATAAAGCTAGATTTGAGAATATGACCATGAAGAGTAGGTGACATGCTAGATATGAATGCTTAATTACTTCTGAAGTATTCTAAAGGGGCAGGAATATTCAGGGCAAATGAGAGAGACATCACCTGAGGTGTGGCAGATGTATGTGCAGGGCTGCACAAGCATGCTGCAGTGGTGTGCCATGCTTCCTGCCACTGTGCTCAGGGGCTTGAACTTCAGGATGACATGCGGATCACAGGATGCCATTGCATGTGCCACTTATTCCAATGTAGATTGTACAATCAATATTAATTCTCCCCGTATGTCCATATTTATGATCATCCTTTAGAACATCCTAGATAATTTGTCATATGCCGTTGAATCTTTACTACTTAACATAGTTGTGTCTCCTTATAATTTTTTAAAATTTATATAGTTGAAATCCAAGTTTAGTTAATTATCAGCTATGAAATTTGAGCAGGTTACTTAATCTCACTGTAGTCTGGTTTCTTTATGTACAAAAATCAGAATAATAGTAGGATCCTTCTTAGGCCTATTATCAAAATTGTATTTGTTTTGATTAAGCACTTAGAATGTTCTCTAGTATCTAGTAAGCACTATATAAGTAAGTTTTTTTGTTTGTTTGCTTGCTTTTTGTCATTTTGAGACAGGGTCTCTCTGTAGCCCCAGCTGTCCTGGAACTCACTACATAGACCAGGATGGATTGGAACTCACAGAGGTTTGCCTGCCTCTGCCTCCTGAGTGCTGGGATTAAAGGTGTGCACCGCCATGCCTGGCTATAAGTTTTTTAAAGTAAATAAATGGGTTTATATCATGTGTCCACACACATACTTAGAGGAAGATGATTAGCCACTTCTTCCCTTTCTGAATGAAATTTCAAAATAGGCTTCACATCTAGGCCTAACAACTAAGATTTCTAAAATATTTGAGTTCCTATGAATTCCACACCATCTTAGTGTAAGCAGATCTCTGTGAGTTAGAGGCAAGCCTGCTTACTTCTGAGTCCCAAGTGCTGGAATGAAAGGCATGTGCCACCATACCTGACAAAATCCACATATTTTAAAATACTTTTAAAAACAAGTAAACACTAAAGCAAAGTTGAAGGAAAGATAGTATTTATGTGCAAGTAATTCTTTGATTTAAGAAATTTAGTTCCAATTTGGCAACTTTAATCATGAGGTTCTTAAAATTTAAAGGAGGGTTAATGGAATGTGATCATCTGTTCTTTTTTAACTAAGTAGCTAAGACAGAATTTGTAATGAAGTGTTTTTCAGTACTTCCAAAAGAAGAAGAAGAAGGAGAAGAAACTCAGTTCCTGGTATCTGGTAGCAATAATTAGTACAGTGACAATAAATGAACTGTATTGCGAATGGAGGCCATACTCTACCTTATTTTATTCAGATGAAGGAACATTTAGTTACTGGTTTTGTTTTTTGTTTCTGCTGCAGACAAATCAATTCCAGCTCCTTCTGTAAAGCCTGGAGGTAAGCTGTCATATGAGATTTGGGTTAATTTGAGCTGTTTCACAGCCACTCTTTACAGATGTAAACCAAATGTCCTTTAGATAAAATTATTGAGCAGAAAGACCATTGATACTACCTTGACAGCACATATCATACCCTGCCTGACAGCTTGCTCACTATTCTCACTCTCCACTATTGTCTATTTCTGTCAAAGCTGAAAAGTAATAGTTCACAAATTCCATTTTGAATGTTACTTATTACTATAGACAATATGAAGGAAGTAATTTAATCTAATGAAACAAGAAATGAGCCTGATTGACTATTTATGGTCCTAGCAGTAAGCCATTGTACCTTCCCCTAGGTACATTACTGCTTTATGTGCCTGAACTCCAACTGCTTATTGGCTGTTTTGGTGCCTGATCCTTGGCAGCAAAGGTCTCACCAAAAAGATGATGATATGACTGGGGAGATGACTCAGTGGGTAAAGGGCTTGCTATACAAGCATGAAGATCTGAGTTAGAGCCCCAGAACCCATGTGAAAAAGCTGGGCATGGTGGCATGTGCCTATAATCCCAGCTCTAAGGACGTGGAGACAGGAGGATCCCTGGGGCTTGCTGGCCAACCAGTCTACCTGAATAAGTAAGTTCCAGATTCAGAGAGACTCTGCTTCAAATAAACAAAGTGGAGAACAATGGAGGAAGACACCCAATGTCAACCTCTAATGAGAGAGAGAGAGAGAGAGAGAGAGAGAGAGAGAGAGAGACATGAACACGAATACAGGAACATGTACACATACATACATACATACATACATACATACGTACATACATACACACACGATGAAGACAAACCTTTATGCAACAATTGAACACTTTTCTGTCTTTATAAATATTACTGGTTAAATTACTACTACATTTTTGCACCCCACTTTGAGGTGATAGAACCTCAAAGCATGCCTGGGTTATGTTGCCATTCTTTAAGTTCTCAAGTCCATATGTGTCTCTTCCAGGTGAGGGAACTGAGCCAGCAACACCCATACTTCCAGAAGAAGCACAGACAGAAGACGCCAAAGAAACCTTTAAAGAAAACAGAGGTGCGTACAGTACTCACGTGGGGGGGGGGCATAGATAATGGGACTCTAATTAGGATTCTCGATAGTTACACGTCCTACTTTGTTCTTTCCACAGCTCCCTAAAAATGAAATTAGGCATCTGTAACTTTGTTAAAACTGGATTAAATATTTGGGTTTCATCAATGAATGTGCAAAGGGAGCCATCCTAAGACAGCTGAGGGGAAGAAAGACTAGGTAGGAAGTGAAAGACCCTGTCTTCCCTACAAAGACAGACTTGGGACCTGCTATTACCATAGAGGTGAGGTCGGATAGGGACTGAGATAATGAAGGTAGAAAAATAAAACAGAAAAACACCAAGCCATGACGCATAAGATCTGTGATCACTATTCATCTGCAAAACTAACTGAGGAAACAGAAATGATATTAAACATCTAAAACGTTGGATCATAAAGGCTAAAAGAGGGTGCTGGAGAGATGGCTCTGTAGTTAATAGCACTGGCTGCTCTTGCAGAGGATCCAGGTTTAGTTCCCAGCACCCACATGATGGCTAACAACATCCTTAACCCCAGTTCCAGAAGATTCAATGCTCTCCTCTGGCCTCAATGGGCATTGCATGACACAGGTGCACTTACACACCTGTGTAAGGTAAAACACTCATACACATAAATTTTTTAAATAAATAATTTATTGAGAATTTCATACATTCATATAAGGTGTTTTGATCAAATCCACGCTCACTTCCTCCCCTCCAACTCCTCCCATATCTCCTCATCACTTTTTTCAGATAATTTCATGTATTCTTTCTTCTTCTTTTTAGTTATTTTTCTATGGGGCTTTTGGCTACTCTTAACATTCCCCCCTCTGAAGAGGTAACCCTAAAATCTTTTAAGGATTAGATAAAAGCTCCCAAATACTTTCGACATTTTTGGCCTTTGGAATGGAGTAGGTTGCTAAGAGGCCCAAGGACATTGTGAGTTTTATCCAAGAAACTCGCTACTTTTCTTTGGGGTCTTTTTATCCTAGCTGCCTAGTGAATTCCTACTTCCTATTCTTATTACACTATCCTCTGAAGAGGTTACCCAGCTTGTGGATAAGGAATTGGGACACAGGCTGCTCTGGCTTCTTCCATGTTGAACAGGGATGCAGGATGAGGCAATTGGAATACCCCTTCAGTGGATCTAGCTGAAAGACTCCTGAATTGCATAACTCTTATCCGTAGGGGGAAAAGAAAGTCCTTAACTGGTGACTAGGAGATGGGAAGGAGAAGTAAAGGCAAGAGTAATTACCATTACACGTTCTAGACAGGGAACTAGAAAAAGAGTCAGAACAGGGCAATTTTCAAACGTTCATATGAGAGTCCATTGGAATTTCTTGATGAGAACTTCCAAAAGCATTCCTCTATTGAGTTCCTCCTCGTTTTTCTTTTGTATTCCAAGACTGGATTCTAGAGTGTTGGATTCAGGATTTGCTTTCAGGTATTTTGATAGCTGTTGGACTGGTTAGAATCAGTGTCAGTTCTAGGGCTAGAGAGATGGTTTAGTGGTTAAGAACACTGACTGTTCTTGCAGAAGACCCAGTTTTGAATCCCAGCACCCACATGGCAGCTAATAATTGTCCGTAATTCCAGTTCCAGGGGATCCAACAGCCTCTTCTGTCCTCCACAGGCATTGCACGACATGGGTGCAGTTACCTACATGCTGGCAATACATGCATACACATAAAATAAAAATAATAAAGCATTTTTTTAAAAAGAATCAGTGTCAGTTCCCTCTCAAAGGGTTCTAGATAAGGGGAGAAAACAAATTTATCCATCATTTTAGAACAATAGCTGGTAAGTCTTACATCTGAGCAGCACTTTCTGGTTAGGAACAAAATCATCAATGAGAAATAATTGTCTAAATAACTTTTTATAAAGACTTAAGCCTAATATCTGGGAAGTATAATCCCTTGAACTCTTAAAGAAATATACTGATGACTTTACTCTTTGGTTATACTTTCCTTTTGGGTGTTTAAGACCATACAGTTGGCCTAAATAAATCAACTTATTTTTACATTTAAGGTGATTTGAGGATCTGTTCCTCAGTGTCACATGGGCTTGGGGGGAGCCCCTGGGTCCTTTCTTTTACCAGTTCCATCTATGTGAAGATAAGTCAAAGGTCCTGCTCGACCATGTCTGGCTTCACTTGGAAGCATGAATGAGATGTTTCCTCTGAGTTGACCCTCCTCTTTGTAGACTGGACACTGGTTCAAGTCCATCTCATAGGGTCTCCATGTCCTCCCTGAACAAGAGGAGAGGTGACTCACCACAGTTACAGGACATTTTGAGAGATGTTCTATAGTCCTCTGGAACTTAGTCGACCTTGAAGGGCAAGGGGCAAACACTGTCCTCTAAGTCCCTCAGACCAAGTATGGTTGTTAAATATCCAATAAGGTTAGTTCTACCGGTCTAGTACTTTTAATTACCATGTGCTATGTAGCTAAGGTTTGGGTACAAAACCAAATATTCTCAGATAAACTTTGACTAGATATATATTTTGTTCCTTAAACTAGTTGACTAAACTATGACCATAGACATTTTAAGATTATGTGTATATTCATCTTTTGTCTCATTTATCATAACAAACCTATACAGACCTTCATCACTTGCTTAGGCTTTCTCATTTTTTCTATTTTGGAAAGTATCTCCATTCCCATATCCTTTTAACATCTTTTACATTCTCATTTTCATTTTTAAAAAATAATTATGAGAAATAATAGCATTAACAAATAAATTTTCCATCTGCTGTAAGACTTCTTTTCCAGGGGATGCTAAGCAATGCTTATTCCCTTTCAAGGGTCTAGTATCAAGCCAATGTTTCATTAAAATTTTACTGGGGAACCAACGAATTTACTGAGCTTACTTACCGAGATAACTGAGGGGTTGCTGAGGTGTATGTATGACCTGAAGATATGCACACTGGAAAGTCTTTACCCAGCATGGGTCATGCCTTCTCTTCCTAGATTTCCCCAGATTGTATACTTTAGCCCTCCCCGAAACCTAGGAAGCCATGTGTGATTAGGGTCAAATTACATACAATTGTCTGGGAAGAGTGGCTGGATACTCCCGTGAGGGTCCAATGACCCTGTGTGTCCCTCCTTTAATGAATGAGCACAACCATCAACAAGCCCAATTGTGACGATGTTTAGCGATCAGGCTCAGTGGAAGTTGTGGTGATGGTAGTTATTTCATGCAGAAGGCACTGCTGTATAGCATCATCTTATTAAAAGAACCTGGAATTTAAAAGGATTTGGTGCTAGGATCCACATGAGGGAGAACATATGTGGCTTGTTTTTCTGAGTCTGTTACTTCACTTAGTATAACAGATTCTAGATCCATCCATTTACCTGCAAATTTCATTATTTCATCTTTCTTTACTGCTGAATAGAACTCCATTGTGTAAATATACCATATTTTTTTAACCACTCATCAGTTGAGGGACACTTAGGTTGCTTCCATCTCTTAGCTATTTTGAAAAGAGCACCAACAAACATGGTTGTATAAGTGTCTCTCCAGTAGGATGAATTCTTTGGGTATACGCCAAGGAGTAGTATAACCAGGTCATATGGTAGGTTTATTTTTAGTTTTTTGAGAGTTCTCCACACCATTTTCCATAGAGGCTGCATGAGTTTGCAATCCCACCAGCAGTGAATGAGCGTTCCCCTTTCTCCACATCCTCACCAGCATTTGGTATCATTTGTTCTCTTGATCCTAGCCAGTCTGATTGGGGTAAGGTGATAGGTGGTTTTAATTTGCATTTCCCTAATTACTGACAATCTTGAAAACTTTTTGACATGTTTCTTAGCCATCTTTATTTCTTCCTTTGAGAACTCTCTGTTTAGATGTTTAGCCCATCTTTTCATTGGGTCATTTGGTTTCTTGATTCTTTATTTGAATGCTCCAGAAGGGTAAAGTGGCCCAGCTAGTTAAGCACACTTCAGTAGCCTCACAGGGATAAAGCCAATGTCTAAGGAGAGGAGATGGGAAATGGATGTACAAGCCCCTACTAGTCAGCAGGGAAGCCTGAGCCCTGGAGAAGTGGGAGAGATTGAAGATGGTCCCAAAGCAGAGGGATGGGTATGGTGAGACTTGGGCAGCTCACCCCTATAGGCCAAGTCAGGCACTCTCACATGGTCTCAGAAGTTCAGGCATGCAAGTAGAGGTAAAAGCAGAAGGAGGTGCAGTCCCTTCACCTTTATCTTACAGAGATCCACCTGCCTCTGCCTCCAGAGTGCTAGAATTAAAGGCTTGTGCCACCACACTTGACTTACCACTGGCTATTTAGTTGTCATGTATTTTTTTAAAGAAAGAAGAAAAAAGTCATAATTCAATTACCTCCAGAAAATCAGCATTGTGCCCATCAAGGTTCAAAATAGATTACAATTTCATCCATCACCTTTTGAGGCATTATCTAATGAATAATACTTTAATTCTGAATCAAGAACTGTGCAATTAACTAAGAAAAAAAAGTTGAACTTTAATGCTCCAAAATTTCTTCTAGTAATATTCTCATACAGGGACTGAAAGACCAGCCTGAGTCTCTGAAGCTCATCATTAATTCATGCAAGAAAAGAATGATTAGCATGTAACAATAGAGTTGGGGGGGGGATCCTACCAAAGAGGAAAAAGACTAATGAAGACTTAAATTCTGAGCAAGCTCAAATTCTCAAGGGCTCTGATTTATTGGCATAAGTATATTATGGCAGGTAGAAGTGAGAGGAGGCAATAATTAGGGCATGCTCCTCAACATCAGCTCTTTTGACATTTTGCACTGTGTAATTCTTTGTTTCAGGTGACTGTCATGCGCATTGCTGAATATTTAAGAGCATCTTAGAGTCTTTACCCAATGCCTGCCAACAGCAAATGTACTCATTCGCCTTTGAAATAGTGATATTAAAAAATGTCTCTAGACATTTCCAAATGTTC